AATCAGTTTCTCAGACACGTCCCACCCTTTCCTGCTTGCATCCTTTACGCTCGGCTATTTTCCCAATCCCTCAATATCTATAGCTTTATCTTGTGTTGCCATGTTCTTTCTGTGTAGCCAAATCCTACCTCCTCTATAAAATCTGCCCCCTACCCTATCAAGGTAGCCCAGTGACCACTCTTTCTCGCTTGACAATGGTTGACATCACCAGTGCAGTTCAATAACATCGTTCCGACTATTCTCTTAGGTGGGAGTACATTTGATTAACACTTTCGTTTAGCAAGAGGAAGGCAGAAGGCCTGGAACCTGCCCTCTTAAGTAATGAATTCCCATTCCTAGAGGTTTCAGGCAGAAGCTGAAACCCCTTGCTAGGGTATCTAAAGAGGGACTTGGTCCATATACCCATAAAAATTACTTATAGCTTTACAAATTAAAAAAAATTGATTTTGTTATAGGGAGGATGTGGTGAGGAGAGAGAGAGAGAGAGAGAGAGAGAGAGGTGAGAAATCACTCCTCATTGGGGTGGCTATGCTGCAATCCTTTCTCCTCCATTCTCCTCTTGATGTGTTGGGTGTGCACACACAGGCACCTGGAGTGATCTTCAAGTCAATGGGTCTGGGAAGAGTATCAGCATTGTGGGATCCAGCTGCCTTAACTTCTGCATCACCTGCTGGCCCCGAGCTTTACTTATTTATTTTTAAAAAGACTTATTTATTTAATTTTATTTATTATTGTTACTTAAAAAAATATTTATTTATTCATTCGTTTATTTTAATTTGACCAGAAAGAGAAAGAGAGAGATGGAAAGCGAGACAGCAAGCCACCAGGTCCGGGACTGGAACCCTGGTTGGCTATGTGGGAGTGTCCAGCGCCTCAACCACCACACCACCTGCTGGTCCCTCTCACTGTGGTTTTAATTTGCATTTTGTTAATGGCTAATGATGTTGAACTCCTTTAATGTGATTATTTGCCATATACCCTCTCCAGTGGTATTTATTTTAGGCCCATTTTCTAATTGGATTGAATAGTCTTTTCATTTTTTAAGACTTATTTAATTACATTTGCTATTATTATTATTTTAAAATTAGAACTATTCATTTTTTAAAATTTATTATCCTTCTTCAATTTGACCAGAGAGACAGAGATAAAGAGAAGAAGAGTGAAAAAGCAAGCCACCAGGTCCAGAACTTGAACCACAGTCAGCCATGTGGGAGTCCAGCACCTTAAACACTACACGTGGCCAGTGTGAGTTTCAAGGTCCAGGACCCAAACTGCAATTGACTACATGGGAGCCCAGTGACGGAATCAGTATGCCATCTACTAGTCCCCATTTAAAAAAAGAATTATTTTATGTAACTTTATATATTTATGTATTTATTTTTTAATTTAAACAGAGAGGGACAGAGATAGAAAGTGAGAGAGTGAAAGGGACCAGCAGTTAGCGTAATGACTATGTCACTGGACTCCCACGTAGTTGACCGCGGTTTGTGTCCCGGACCCGGTGGCTTAAACTCACACTGCGCGCGTGTGCGTGTGTGCCCAAGATCCCGAGAGGAGAATGGAGGAGAAGGGATTGCGGCGTGGCCATCCCCCCTGGGGGGTGATTTCTCGCTTTCTATCTCTCTGTCTCTCTCTGTCTGTCTGGCGAGTGCACACGCACTATAGCAAAAACCTCTCCAAAAAAAAAAGAAAACAAACTAAAAAAAAGAAAGTGAGAAAGCAAGCTGCCAGGTTCAGGGCTCGAACCATGGTCGGCCACGTGGGAGTCCAGTGCCCTTAACCACCATGCCACCTGTCGGCCCCTCTCCCCATTAAAAATATTATTCATTTATTTCTTCTGAGAGAGAAAGAGAGAGACAGCACTTCTAACAGGGCCCTGATGCTGAGATACTCCCCTATCCTTGAGTCAGCCCTAGGTCATAGGCATAAGCATTCTGAAGTACTCAGGGAAGTCTCCAGAATCAGGGCATGAAGGGGAACCTTCTCGAGGGGGGCTGCCTCCCAGAACACTGCGTTTTACCACTGTGTCACACTCTGGCTCCTGCTGTTGGGTTTTGAAAGTTCTTTACATGTTCTAGATACAAGGCCTTTGTTGGATATGCAGTTTGCAAATAGTTTCTCCCACTCTAGCTTGTGTTTTCGTCTTCTTTGCAGTCTTTTGTAGAACAAAGGCGTTACATTTAGAATAAGGTCCAATTTATTGGCTTTTTCCTCTTATGAATTATGATTTTAGTGTCTAAAAATTCTTTGCCTTGTCCTATATCCTGAGGATATTTTTTAGTATGTTATTCCATTTTCTAAATGTTTTACAGTTTTCCATTTCCCTAAATCTGATTCATTTCAAGTGAATTTTAAAAACTTATTTTATTTACTTATTTATTAAAGAATTATTTATTTTATTTATTCATTCATTTATTTTCATTTGACCAGAGAGAGATACCGAGAGAGAATGAGAAAGGGGGAAAGCAAGCACCAGGTCCAGGACTTGAACCGTGGTCAGCCATGTAGGACTGTCTAGTGCCTTAACCATTATGCCACCTGCTGGTCCTCTATTAATTTATTTTTAATTTGACCAGCAAAGGACAGAGAGAGAGGTGTGTGTGTGGGGGGCAGTGAGAAAGCAAGCCACCAGGTTTGGGACTTGAATTGCAGTTGGCCGTGTGGGAGTCCAGCACCCATAACCACCACGCCACCTGCCGGCCCCCATTTTAAGTGAATTTTGGTATAAGGTGTGTGGTTTCGGTAGATGTTCATTATTTTCCGTAGGGTGGTATCTGTAGATGTTCACCCATCCCGGCATCATTTGCTGACGTTTCCTGATTCCACTTGTACCCCTCCATCTCCCTTTTCCATATGGCACTTAGAGTACTTTTTTATTTTTTTTAAGGTTTTTGTTTTAGGACATGTGTGCTTGCTGGAGAGACAGAGAAAGACAGTGAGAGGGAAAGCGAGAATCTCCCCCAGGGGGGATGGCCACACCCAGTCCCTTCTCCTCCATTCTCCTGTTGGGATTTTGGGCACCCACACACAGGTGCCCAGTATGAATCTCAAGTCATCAGATCTGGAATCCAAACCACAGTCAGCCATGTGAGAATCTAGCCCCTCAACCATTATGCCACCTGTTGGCCCCCAGAATACTTTCTTTAAAAAATGTGTATTAGGGGCTGGTAGGGTATGGTGATTAAGGGCACTAGACTGCCATAGAGCCACTGTGGTTCCAGTCTTGGATCCAGCTGCTTACTTTCTTTCTCACTTTCCCTCTCTCTCTGTCCCTCTCTGGTGAGATTAAAATGAACAAGTAAATAAATAGATATAAATAAAAGTTAAAAAATAAAATAATTCTTAAAAAAAAAAAAGTGTCTTAGGGGGCCGGCAGGTGGCGTGGCAGTTAAAGACGCTGGATTCCCACATGGCTGACCACAGTTTGAGTACCAGACCTGGCGGGTTGCTTTCTTCCTTTCTCTCTCTCTCTGTCCCTCTCTGACCAAATTGAAATAAACAAATGAATAAATAAATCAATAAAATGAAAAAAAAATTTAAAAAGTATATTAGGGGGGACCAGCAGGTGGCATGGTGGTTACGGTGCCAGACACTTCCACATGGCCCACCATGGTTCGAGTACCGGACCTGGTGGCTTGCTTTCTCACCTTCTCTCTCTCTGGTCAAATTAAAATAAATGAATGAATAAATAAAATTTTAAAAAGTATATTAGATGTAATTCCCTGTTCAAAACCCTCATTGACTTCTACTCACAACATAATTTGTTCTCTTTCCATCCACAGTTCTTTCCTTAAACATTCTGTCACCAGGACCAGCAGATGGCAGTCCCCTTACGTCACTGGACTTCCATGTGACTGACTGCAGGCCAGACCTATGGCTTGAAACTCAAGCCAGGTGCATTTGCGAGTTTGCCCAAGATCCTAGAAGAATGGAGAAGAATGGATTGCACTGAGATCATGGGGGGGGGCTGTGACTTTTCACTTTCCCTGTGACTCAGTGAGTGTAGGTTCCCTAAGGCAAAAATCCTCTTTAAAAAAAAATTTGTCTGGCTGGCAGGTGGTGTGGTGGTTAAAGGCGCTGGATTCCCACATGGCTGACCATGGTTCAAGTCCTGGACCTGGAGGCTTGTTTTCTCACTTTCCCTTTCTTTCTCTCTGATCAAATTAAAAAATGATCATAATAAATGGAATAAATATATTACAAAGTTTATAATTAAAAAATTGTCAGAGTGTGTGAGCTCAGTGAGAAAGAGGTGAGAAATCAGCCCCTTCCTCTCCAATGCCAATCCTTTCTCCTCCACCTCTCCCTCCTTCCAGGATTTTGGGCACACGCGCACATGTCCCAGACACCTGCGCCAGGCCAACTTCTGAAGCCACCAGCCTCCAGAATAGACATAAAGGTCAGCCATATGGATTCCAGCTGCCTTAACCCCCACGCCACGGGCTGGCCCTCTATCTGCATTTTCTTTTGCTTGGTGCCCATTATAGTACTTGGCTCTCAGAGAACCGCAGCCTTGTTCCCTGGATTCAATCAAGCACGTCTATCTAGTCTATTATTACTTACTCAAAGAGATTTCCACATCAATTTTATCCCCCCACCCTGTTTTATTTTTCTCACGTACATATATCATGTGATATACATATTAATCGGCTTATTTATTTGTTTGCGTCTACTCCCAACCCTATTAAAAACCCCAAGAGTAGGCTGTCCCAGCCACAGGACCTCGACCAGTGCCTGACACACAGTAGGCACTCAATCCTTTACTGCTGCATAGGCTGGAAGGAAAGAATCCATGTCCCGCAGGAGCGACAGGTCCACTTCTCAGTGACGCGCTTGTTCGGACTTCCTGCGAAGTGTGAGCGCCACCTCCCGGGAAGTCACTTTGCACGCCAACGAAGGAAGTGAGTCACACAGCCTTAGCAAGCGGAAAAAAGCCAGCCCGCCGCGAGAGTCGGAGAAAAAAAACTAGCGCCGGAAGTTAAACGTCGAAAGATTGCTCCCTAGAATGTCGCCCGACTCACGAGAGGAAGGGTGGGCGAGTGGTGTTCTGCAAAATGGGCTCCCCTGCAACGGATCTGCGTAGAAGAGTTCCGTGCGGGGAAGCGCTGGGAACCACGTGGGCCTGGGACACGTTTCCGGTGCGGGAGACTGCAGCAGAAGTTGAAATCCAAGCAGCTGGAGGGGGTGAGATGGGTTTGGGGTCCTGAGAGGGAAAAAAAAAAGGAGTGGAGTTGGGGAAGGAAAGAGATAAAGAGGTTTAACGAAGAGATGAGTGAGAGGTGCAAGGGGATCAGATGGGAGGAAAGGGCAGGGAGCGCCTGCGGACAGGTGCAGACCTGTCAGCGCAGGTCCCACGCCTCATGGACTCGTCTTTGTCCATGTGGCTGCAACGACAGGGGCTGTACTTTGTCCCTGTCGAGTACAATGCTGGGCACGGAGTTGGCTCTCAGGGAGTGCCTGAATGAATGACGGCTCTGTGTGTGTGTGTGTGTGTGTGTGTGTGTGTGTGTGTGTGTGCGATTTTCTCTTGGGAAATCCATGTTAGCTCCATGCTCCATTGGAGGCTTTCCAACCAGTCCTTGGACTTTGTCTCTTATTCTTGGAATGACGGAATAATGTTCATTTAAGTCATGCTCTTTGCTCCTATTGATTGCTAAGCCCTGTGGCTAGTACCAAAGACAGATACAGGAGCAAACCAGCTTCTGTACGCAGGCCACAGATCCGTGGGGAGGCAGACACACAGAAAATTGGACTACATTGTTAAGGTGCTATAATTGCTGGTTAACAAAGGACAGGAAAATAGAGCCAGGAGGTGGTGCTGCTAATCTACATTAGGCATTGTCTTTGAAGGTGAGGGGCTTTCTTCTTTTCCACCCTGTGGGACAGGGCAGGTCATGAGCCCAGTTTTCTTTGTAAAAAGAAAATTCTGGAATAAATGCTCTCCAGGTTTCCTTCCACCATGACGTCTCATGGCAGATATTACTAATGTCTATACCTCTCTGACAATCCACCATTTATTGGCTAGTCAGAATAGTCATCACATTGTAAGGTATACATAAATTTCGTAGGGTTAGGATATCTGAATTTTGGCTCTCATTTTGGTAAGGTGATCCTGTTTCTGCATTTATTAATGAAAGTGATTGTAATGATGGATTTTCTAAAAATCCCTCTATTACATACATATATACATACATACATGCGTATGTGTGCATATATATATATATATATAAATATTACCTTTTTTTTTTTTTTTTTTTGTTTTGCAGCTCATGTGTGTTTGCAGTGCATGTGTGTGGTTGCTAGAGAGGGATGGGGGAGTGAGAAATCACTCCCCAGAGGGGATGGCCATTCCACAGTCCCTCTTCCTCCATTCTCCACTCTGGATTTTGGGCATGCACACACACGCCTCAGGTGTGAACTTCAAGCCACTTGTCCAAGATTTGATCCTTATAATTGGTCATGTGAGATCCAGACACCCTAACCTCCTTACCACCTGCTGGCCTGCCCCCTCTAGTTCTAACACTGTGACTGTAGCAGCAGGTCAAACTATTTCCTACTCGGGAACCAGCAGTTAGCGTAATGGCTATATCGCTGGACTCCCACGTAGTCAACCGCGGTTCGCGTCCCGGACCCGGTGGCTTAAAACTCACGCTGGGCACGTGTGCGTGTGTGCCCAAGATCCCGAGAGGAGAATGGAGGAGAAGGGATTACGGCGTGGCCATCCCCCCTGTGGGGTGATTTCTTGCTTTCTGTCTCTATGTCTCTCTTGCGAGCACACGCGCCCTATAGCGAAAACCTCTCCAAAAAAATAAAAAATAAAACCCAAACAAACTATTTCCTACTGTCTAATACCAGATGTCACTTTCACATTAGGAAGTATCAGTGTAGTTTTCCCCAACCTGGATTAGAAAGAAGGAGAGTATCTTATTTTTATATCCCCGGGTATTTGGTAGGTGCCGAATGGAAGCTTATTACATCAAATGGGATAGGAACTAGTCTCTGCTTTCAGACCCTTCCACACTTCGGGATATTATTCATAGATAAGGGAACTGGGTAGAAACTGTTATTTTTTTTATTATTATTATTTTTACCAGAGAGAGCCTTAGAGTGGACATGACAGATTAAGATCAGCTTTATGGGGAAATCTGCTTGAGAAGGATAATGACGCAGGCAGGAGATTTAGTGCTGTTGCATTCCCCTGCTTGCCTATCCTCAGGACCATGGCCAACTGTGAACGCACCTTCATTGCCATCAAGCCCGATGGGGTCCAGCGGGGCCTTGTGGGAGAGATCATCAAGCGTTTTGAGCAGAAGGGATTCCTCCTTGTTGGTATGAAATTCATGCATGTAAGTGGACTTCATTCTTCCTCTTTTGATTCCTTTGTAGTACAGGGGAACACGGTAAGTTAACCTCTTCTGTTTTACCTCTTTCCTTTTTCTGGACTTCTCCATGATGGAGTGAACATAGTGTCTTAAAAACTGTAAACCCCTCAGTGGCCTAGCACCTTGGCTGAATCTTAGAACAAACCATATTACGTGAAACTTTCAAAAATAGCCTCTCTTTCCCTTAGCAATGTAGAATTCCTCATATTAATATAGCACTGTGATTTCTGACTCAGAATTCTGGGCATGTTTGAGCTCCTGGTCTGGAGCTTCCTAAGCAGATAATTTTAGAGAACTTCCCTCTCCACCTCCTTCTTGAGGTAGATCGTTTCAGAAAAACAAAAACACAACACACACAAAGAAACAAACCAAAAAACCTCTTTCCATTGTGACTTAAGACCCACCTAGTATTTAGCATCTATTAAGCTGTGGTTTTTCTTTTGGGGGGGCGGTCCTTCCTGCAGCAGCAAAGAGCAGACACACCTAGAAGACACATACAAAGCAATCTTTCAGTACATGCAGAGATTGATTGGCTAAGAACCCTTCTTTAATAAACCCACATGATGAGAATTGCAACTTTCAAATCAAATAAATTAGGAGACCATTTTTTTTTCTCATTAAAGAAATCAACTGTGGACCTTTGTGGTACACTTTAAATTCAGTTTAATTTGCAGAGTAGTCCATGTGTGATGTTATAAAAAGCTGCTTCAGTGTACCAGAGGGGAGGCTGATGTTAATGCTGAAGGGACTGCATGGTGGAAGGGTTAGAGCCAGGTGGTGGGCAAGCAGTGCTTTCCAGAGGGTATGCATATTAAGTGAGGTTTTGTGTAAATAAGAAATTTTGACATAAAATAAATAAATCAAGTTTCGAAGGTAAAATGAAATGATGAAGTATTTCCCATGTGCCCGACACGTATGTTTTGTTCTCTAGCCCTTTTGTTAGCCTGAGAAGCACATAATCCTATTTTCGTGGTTGTTAGTGATGAGGCACCTGGGGCTTGCAGGGGTTAAGTAAGGTGCTTGACCCCATGCACACCGTCAGTGATGTCAGCGATGCAGCAGGAATTTTCACTTGGCTCCCTCTGACCCCTAAATGCATATATTTTCTCCTTTTTAATGGATTTCCTATCAGAGACACGGGTCTGAGGAAGAATGGAAGGAGGGATAGCCGCCATGACTAAAGGGTTAAGACTGCTTGTGGAGGTGGGAAGCAAGGGAAGACCTGAGGTCCTCCAGCCACCCCCATGGGCCCGTGATCTATTTTTTTTTTTTGGAGAGGTTTTCGCTATAGGGCGTGTGTGCTCGCCAGCCAGCCAGAGAGAGACATAGAGACAGAAAGCGAGAAATCACCCTCCAGGGGGGATGGTCATGCCACAGTTCCTTCTCCTCCATTCTCCTCTCGGGATCTTGGGCACACACACACACACGCGCCCGACGTGAATTCTAAGCCACTGGGTCTGGGACGCGAACCGCGGTCGACTATGTGGGAGTCCAGCGACATAGCCATTATGCTAACTGCTGGTTCCCCGTGATCTATTTTGTACACTAAAGATAATCAGAATTTGGGGGTGCAGGTGGCGTGGTGGTTAAGGGTGTTGGACTCTCACATGGCCAACCCTGGTTTGAGTCCTGGGTCTGGCAGCTTGCTTTCTCACTTCCCCTCTCTCTCTTACTCTGTCCCTCTCTGGTCAAATTTAAATAAATAAATAAATAATAGTTAAAAAAAAAAAAAAAGATAATCAGAACCAATGAATGGAATTAAACAAATGTCCTGGTAGGGGAGGGTCCAGTCAGCCTGTGTTAGGACATTACTACTACAAAGAAAAGGAAGGGATGGAGTATGGGGTATATCCCTGCTGTGATTAATCATACTTTGTCAAATGATGACCAACCACTGGTTGATGGAGGATGTTCTGGATGTGCTTTCTGGCAGCTGGTCTCCACCTTTGTATGTTTCAGAGAGAGAACACAGCCACATTGAGTTGCAGCTAAACAGATGGTTTGCTTGCTAGCTCGCTTGGTTTGTCCCCATAGATCAGTCTTACAGAGTGAGAGTTTGTTTTTTTCTTTTAAAGGATTAATTTTATTGGGACCAGCAGAGGGCATAATGGTTATGTTGCTGGACTCCCATGTAGTTGACTGTGTTCGAGTCCCAGACCCAGTGGGTTAAACTCAGGCTGGTCACATGTACATGTATGCTCGAGATCCAGAGAGGAGAATGGAGGAGAAGGAATTGCGGCATGGCCATCCCCCCTGGGGGTTGATTTCTTGCTTTCTGTTTCTGTCTCGTTCTGTCTTTCCAGTGAATGTACACTCCCTATAGCATAAATCTTTCTTTAAAAAAAAAAAGAATGAATTTTATTTATTATTGGGTCTGCAGAAACGTCATGACGCATTTTTGCATAGAAAAACAAGAAAAACATGACACAGAAAAATACGTCATGGGACAAGCAGATGGCATAATGGCTGTGTCACTGGACTCCCATGTAGTCGACCACGGTTCGAGTCCTGGACCCGGTGACTTAAACTCACGCCGGGTGCATGTGTGTGCATGCCCAAGATCCCGAGAGAAGAATAGAGGAGAAGGGATTGTGGTGTGGCCATCCCCCCTGGGGGGTGATTTCCCACTTTCTGTTTCTCTGTCTGTCTTTCTGGTTTTGCCCTATAGCAAAACCTCCAAAAAAATAATAATAATATTGAGTCATTGGAAAAGTCATGACATGTTTTTCTTTCTTTCTTTCTCTTTTTGGAGAGGTTTTGTGTGCTCGCCAGGGAGAGAGAGAGAGAGAATGACAGAGTGATAGAGAGAAAGCTAGCCACCATGGTTGGCCATGGGCTCCCAAACACCTGCCAGCACCTCCCCTTTTTTTAAAGAATTATTTTACTTAACTTTATTTATTTATTTAATTCCCAGTATCGTGTATTTTAAGACATTATTTTATTGTTAACGTGCCATGTACTTGTGGGTAGTTTGCACATCCCTGTAGGAATCTTGTGGCTGTGTGCTCCGAGTAAGTGTGTTGGGTACCCGGAAACGGCCTGTTCGGTTTGCTGCCCATCCGGTGCCCAGACCGCCTCCCTCACTCCTCTAACATTTTAGCTGGGGTTTGCTCTGGGAATGGAGATTCAGTGCATTGATAGTTTTCCTACTTAACATGAGATGGCTGGATTCAGTTCTTATGTTCTGTGGTTTTATTCTTTTTTTGGTGCTAGAGGGCATGTATGCTTGCCAGAGTGAGATAGAGAGAGAGGAAAAGGAGAAAGTGCCCCATGGGGAATGGTCATGCCACAATCCCTTCTCTTCCGTCTCTCCCTCCTTTAGGGTTTTGGGTACTCACACATGTGCTGGGTGTTTTTCCTTTTTTTTTTTAGAGAAGTTTTTGCTATAGGGCATGTGCGCTCGCCAGACAGACAGACAGACAGAGAGACAGAAAGCGAGAAATTACCCCCCAGGGGGGGATGGACACACTTCAATCCCTTCTCATCCATTTTCCTCTCAGGATCTTGGGCATGCACGCACATGCGCCCGGCATGAGTTTAAGCCACCGGGTCCAGGACACGAACTGCGGTCGACTACATGGGAGTCCAGCGACATAGCCATTACGCTAACTGCTGGTCCCCTAGAATCACTTTTAATCCCTCCTTCTGTTTTAGCTTGGTAGTATTGGAGAATAAGTTGGGTTATAACAGAATCAGCAAGCCCAAAGCTCATGTTTTAAATAGCAGGGTGGGTGAAGGGGAGTTAACTATTGATAGACTGCTGGTTCTTGGATAGTTTTGGGGCCTGTTCTCATCTTCTCTTTTGTGGAATAGGCTTCTGAAGATCTTCTCAAGGAACACTACATCGACCTAAAGGACCGTCCATTCTTTGCTGGCCTGGTAAAATACATGCATTCAGGGCCGGTGGTTGCCATGGTGAGTATGCCCTTGTGGGATGTTGATGGGAGTGACTCAGTTGTGAGTAAGGAAGAGTGAGTACTGTGGTTCTGATATCAAGTTCTCACTGATGTAGAGGGAGCTGGGGCTGGGAGGAATGGCCAGCTAGGCTATGAATCAGCTTGACCCAAAGACAGTTTGCTGACCCAGACACTCATGGCTAGGAAAGCTCAGGAGGGGCCCACCACACCCTAAGCTTGTGGAGGGCAGGGAGAGTGCCTCTTATATATTGTAGCACTCCTGTCCAAGCATGTCTTGCTTGTCATCTAACTCTGAATATATAGTCATGAATGAGACTGAAGTGATATCTGTTTTCATATTTGTCTACACCCTTGTTTTTTTTTTTTTTTTAAATTTACAGAGCCTGTGTGCATTTGCCAGATAGAGGGAGGGAGAAAAGAGGGAGAAAGCCCTCCCCACTCCTGTGGGGTGTGGTCATTTTGCAACCTCGTCTTCATTTCTCTATCCTGTTGGGATTTGGCGCACACATGCATATATGCTCACCATATTTTTCAAGCTGTTGGGGCCAGGATTTAAGTCACAGTCAGCCAAGTAGGATCTGGCTCTTTTAACCACCAGGCCACAGGCTGCCTTCATTTATTTATTTATTCATTTGCTTACTTACTAACTAACTAGCTGTAGGATGTGTGTGCTTATCAGAGGAAGAAAGAGAAAGAAAGTGAGAAAGTGAGAAGGCACTACCTGGGGCGTTGGCGGTGCCACAGTCCCTTCTTCTTTCTTCTCTTCTCGGGATTCTGGGCATGTACATACATGCATGCGTCTAGTGTATTCTTCAAGCCACCAGGTTGAGGACATATGAGATTAAGCCACCTTTACCACATGCCATCATTTGGCCTTATATCTGGCATTTTAAAAAGGCCAGGGCCAGCAGGGGGCATGGTGGTTGAGGGCGTTGGACTCCCACATGACCGACCATGGTCCGATTCCCGGACCTGGCAGCTTGCTTTCTCACTCCCCCCTCCTCCGCCTCACTCTCTCACTCTCACTCTGTCTCTCTCTGATCAAATTAAAGATAAATAAATAAAAAATAAATAAAGCTCAGTAAAATAATTCTTCAAAAAAAAAAAACAAAACAAAAGGCCTTTGGTTGTCATGCTGAGAATGGATTATAGGTAAGAGTGAGGGGAGAGGGAGCAGTATGCTCTGTGCTGAAACAACTCGATATTTTATGAATATTTGGCCAATGAATGAATGTCATCTTTCTTTCTTTCTTTCTTTCTTTATTTATTTATTTTTGTAATTTTTTGCCAGAGGGCATGTGCACTTGCCAGAGAGGGACAGGGAGAAAGCACCGCCCATGGGGAATGATCACACCACAATCCTTTCTGCTCCATCTCTCTCTCCTTTCAGGAGTTTGGGTGCCCACCAACACAGGCCTGGCATGTTTCTCAAGCTTTCTGGAACTTGTTTTTTTTTTGTTGTTGTTTGTTTTTTTGAGAGATTTTCACTGTAGGGCGCGTGCACTCGCCAGACAGACAGAGAGAGACATAGAGACAGAAAGCGAGAAATCACCCCCCAGGGGGGATGGTCACGCCGCAATCCCTTCTCCATTCTCCTCTCGGGATCTTGGGCACACACGCACACGCGCCCGGCGTGAGTTTTAAGCCACCGGGTCCGGGACACGAACCGCGGTCGACTACGTGGGAGTCCAGCGACATAGCCATTACGCTAACTGCTGGTTCCCAAGCTGTCTGGAACTTGAACCCCATAGTGGGCCATGTGGGTTCCAGCTGCTTTATTTATTTATTTATTTTTGGCTTCTGGATATTCATTTTAATTACTCTGAAATGACATAATTTAGTACCAACCGTTTAACAAGCACCCATAATAACTGCTAGCTATGAAATCAGCATTCTTTGTAGCTGATTGGCTATTAAACAAACAAACAAACAAACAAAAAACTTCAGGCCTCCTGGTGCTTACCACAGGCTGTGTTCCTACACTGACTGTACAGAAGGAGGAGGCAGAGTAAACCCACCCCATATACACCTCAGCCCAGGCCCTGTGCCTCGTCTGTATTGTGAATGGGGAGACATGAAAAACAAAACAAAGAAAAAAAAACCTCATCACTTTTTCTTTTGATAAAAGAGCAGAAATCCCAAAGAATAAGGGAGAGATTGTAAATTAAAGGTCGTATTTACTAATCTAGCACCATAATTCCAGTCTTAGAACCTTCTAAGCAGCTGGAAAGAGAACACAGAAAGGGGTGAAGATGTTGGAGATAGAAGGATAGTTCTTAACTGTGGCCCCATTTTTGCTTTGAGACAATACAGGGTCTAGCAAGGAAGGAAATCCTTGAGACTGGAGGTGAAAAGAAAAGCTTTTGGTCTGAATGGTAAAGAAGGCCCTCGAGAGTAGATGATTCAGTGTATCCAGAAGGCAGCGCTGGAGTTGGCCTCACGAACTCGGGGGTTTCTTCTTGGCATCCAAGTCCTTAATTTCTTCAAGTTCTTTAGCCAGGTCTTAGTTCTGAGCCAGATACATTCCAACCACATTGCCCAAAGTAAATCCAAGCAGAAACTGGAGGATGATGTTAGTGAGGAGGGCGCCAAGGGCGGCTGCAGCTCCGCCGGCCAGTCCCAGCTGCTTTAACCATCAGGCCATGAGCTGGCCTGAATGAATGTCACGTTAAGGGATCTCTTTCTTCTTTTTTACAGCTTTCAATTGGCTCTATGTCCAATTCTAGAATCGGTCACGTTTCATTTCATGCAATAGAACAAGTATTCTTACTTTATTTTTTCAGAATTTGAGTTGCCAGAGTTTCTGCTGCTGTTGGTTTTCTTTCTTGACCATATCTTCTTTTGTCCTTGGAGGTCTGGGAGGGGCTGAATGTTGTGAAGACAGGCCGAGTGATGCTCGGGGAGACCAACCCTGCGGACTCCAAACCTGGGACCATCCGAGGGGACTTTTGCATCCAAGTTGGCAGGTGAGATTCTGACTTTTTTTTTGTAAGTTGCCCTAAAAATTTGGGTTTCTGAGCCTGGAGATGTGTACAGGTTAAGTTAAACTTAAGCTCGTTGACTTTCTCCCTCTTAAATGGGTGTTTGGTGTTGAGGGTCTTTTGCCTTTGTTTGTTGAGATGTCTGTGGCTGTGCTTCTCTAAGAGTGGAGGACCTAGAACAGCACGCCTTGCTCACTGCTTGCATCAGTGTTGGGAGGCCATTTTTCATCCTTATGTGCATGGCAGCTATGGGTTTATTCTTTTGACATACTCTAATGTACCTGAATCTTTGCCTTTCTGCCTCATCGGCTGTAGGCTTTCTGGTCATGGGAGTGTGGTGGGCTCCTGGACATTCAATCCTTCCTTGGTAATATGGCCCTCTCTCCACCAGGAACATTATTCATGGCAGTGATTCTGTGGAGAGTGCCGAGAAGGAGATCGCCTTGTGGTTTCAGCCTGAGGAACTGGTGGATTACAAGAACTGTGCTCAAGACTGGATCTACGAGTGATGGGGGAGCTTTGCCCTTCCCCTCCTTACCACGGGCAGAGGACCAGGCTGTAGCAAATCTAGTTATTCCCGGAACGTCCTTATCATCTGGAGGGAAGCTCTTGGAGCCGTGCGTGCTCCCTGTACAGTGTTATGCGCTACCATCAGATTTAAGATGTTTCTTCCCAGTGGAGGATTCGCTGAGTCGGTTACTTTGCAGTGCTGTATTGCTTGGTGTTATTTTCTCCTTTTCATGTACTCTGGATAACCTGAGTTAATAAAGATGTAAAGACACCATAAATTATTCACACCGGCCTGAGAGATCGCACAGACACACAGCTATTCTTTGCTGGCCACTGCGTTCCTGCCTACTCTTGGCACGGAGCCAGTCAACAGGCATCATCAGAGGATCTGCTGGGGGCCCAGACTGTACTGGTCACGGAGGATTCATGACACATATACGATTACATGTCTTGTTCTTCAGAAGCTCTGAGGGACTCAGTGGATGGGGGGATGTGAGAAGTTTTAACTATTCCAGAAATCAGAAAAGCTACTTGAAGGGTAGGCCGGGATCCCTGGGATGGCCTTCAAGTGGGAGAAATCTTTGATGTAGCTTTGATTTATTAGAATATTGATTTGGTTGCCTTAACAGAGGCATGATAGGAGTTTTTCAAGTTTTTCTATAGAGTGTGTTTGCTCGCTGAAGGGAGATGGAGGTATATCTAGAGAGGAGAAGTGAGCTATCACCCTCTGAGGGGACGGCCATGCTGCAGTCTTTTTCATTCTTCTCTTGGGATATCGGGCAAGCATTGCGTATATGCCTGGCATGTTTTTCAAGCTGCTGGATCCAGGACTTGAACCACGATGTTGGCCATATTGTATCTAGCAGTCTTGACCTCCACATCACCTGCTAACCCTATTTTTCTTTTTTTATTTTTAAAGAATTTTTAATTTTGTTTTGTATTACTATTATTTTTAAAATTTGTTTTAGGGGCATGTGTACTCACCAGAGAGAGAAAGTAAGGAAGCAAGCCACCAGGTCTGGGACTCGAATTGCAGTCGACCATATGGGAGTTCAGCGCCTTAACCATCACACCACCTGCTGGTCCAGGCCTTACTTTTCTTTTATTTAAAAGTCAAAACTGGGGCCCAGCAGGTGGCATAGTAGTTAAGGCACTGGACTCCAACATAGTTAAATTTGGTTTGAGTCTCGGACCTGGCGGCTTGCTTTCTCTCTCTCGTGAGCGCACGTGCCTGTAGCAAATTAAAAAATAATAACAAATAAAATTAAATGATTCTCTAAGAAACAAACAAAAAATCCAAGCTAATTGGTAGGAATGGTCATGGTAAAGCCCTGATCTTTGAAGTTGTCCATGGAGGAGTTTTGTTCTAACTCATTCAAGATGGATTACCACCCCTAGGTTGGTCTGTCAGCAAGTTGGGAAGAGAAATGGAAGGAGTTTCCTTTACTTCTAAAGATACAAGTGCATTTACAACCTTCACTTCTCACATCCCATTTGCCAGAACTTAGTCACATGATCACACCTCGCTAGAAAAGAAACTGGAAAGTGTTCTCTTTGTTTGGGCAACCTTGAGCCCAGATAAAACTCAGGAGTGCTGTGAGAAGAGAGCAAATGAGATTGGATATTGGTAAATGACTGTTTTTTTTTTTAATTACAACTTGAGCAGGTTTTATTTCTTGGTGTTTCCCTGTTTATTGGGCTTTACTAGAAGCAATAGAGGGAAGGGACTTCTCAGGAGGAATAGGGGTGCTGGGATGGGGCTCCTTTGGGGTAGCTGAGGGCTAGGTGCATTTCTGTTTCACAGGAAACATGGCCTATTGGTATTGGGGGGGAGGGAGTTGAGAGGAGAGTGCCAGGACTTCAAGGGACCGAGCAGTGTACAGTGAGGCAGAAGAGTTAAAGCTTCTCCAGCTAAGGACCTTCACTGAGTCACTGAGAAAAAGAGAGGCAGGGCCTGGTGCTGACTGCCATCGGTAGGTACTAGCGGCCCCAGCAAGGGACAAACAGCTCTCCACTGGATGGAGAGAAGTCCAGTGGCATTAGATTCTCCCAGAGTGAACATCTGGTTTTCTTTTCCTTTCTAAAAAGGAATCCCGGGGCCGGCAGGTGGCATGGTGGCTAAAGGCGCTGGATTCCCACATGGCCGACCATGGTTCGAGTCCTGGACCTGGAGGCTTGCTTTCTCTCTCCCTCTGTCCCTCTCTGGTCAAATTGAAATAAACAAATTATTATTATTTTTTGAGAGGTTTTTGCTATAGGGCGTGTGCTCGCCAGCCAGCCAGAGAGAAACAGAGAGACAGCAGGAAATCACCCCCCAGGGGGGATGGCCACGCCGCAATCCCTTCTCCATTCTCCTCTCGGGATCTTGGGCACGCACGCACACACACACCCGCGCCCGGCGTGAGTTTAAGCCACTGGGTCCAGGACTCGAACCGTGGTCGACTGCATGG